AAATGAAACAAAACATAGAGATTGCCCGCATAATTATTTCGTTTTCATTAAATTTAGATTTCAAATTTGGATTTTGGATTTATTTGAAAGAGAAAATAATACAGAATTGTTGTCTTACATAATCAAATTTTCCAGATGAAATGGCTCAAGGAGAAGGGTTACGGTGGTGCCTTCATATGGACTCTTGATTTCGATGATTTCAAGGGTACAAGTTGTGGTAAAGGTCCATATCCGCTATTAAATGCAATCAATAATGAACTTGAAAGTGAGGTAGGAAATATTTCAGAGATGAATTTCGGTATCAAATATAGCTGAAGTTTCTGTTTGTATTCATCAAAATTTCGAATTATATTGTGAATGAAGTTATAAAATTAGTAAGGAAGTAAATCGATAGATTGATGAATCGGTCGATATAAGTTCAATAGGATTATTTCGGAAAAATTGACACTAAATGATAGGACATATAATTTCTCTTTGACGATTGACTAATTTAAAGTGCAAATTTACTTCGTTTTACACTCACTTCGAAATTTAAAATTCAGCAAACATTTACAGTCAACAGCATCGACAGAAAGCTTTGATACGACGACGGCAGAACCAGAAACTACAGACGACGATACTGATATTGATGCGACGACGGCAGAGCCAGAAACTACAGACGACAATACTGAAATTGATACGACGATGGCAGAGCCAGAAACTACAGACGACAATACTGAAATTGATACGACGATGGCAGAGCCAGAAACTACAGACGACAATACTGAAACTGATACGCCAGGTTTGTCATTTGAAGGATAAAAAAAGCGGATTTCTTATCTTGGATATAGCTCAATTCTCCGAATTTACTTCTCCATTCCACGTAGAATATGAAATTGGAAAGCCTTTTTTTTATGCATTTGTCATAAAAATAGTTTTGTTATTCCTCCAAAATCAATGCTTCGTAGAATCTAACAAGCATAGTTGACATAAGTTGCAGATGAATGAATCCCATTTGGAATCTCTAACACATCTGTATCTTTTTTGCTCCATATAATCTGCCCTTTTCCATTTCCCAAATAACTTATGATCCTTTCTTGAAGCAATGAATACTTTGTTTTGTTATTGAAAATTATTTCAGATGGATGTCCCGAGCCTAACGGTCTATTCCCGCATCCCAGTGATTGCCATCTGTTCATTCAATGCTCAAATAACTATTTGCATGTGATGCATTGTCCACCTACTACCTTTTTTAATGACGAAGTTAAAAGTTGCGATCATATGATGCCGGACAGATGCAAATGATTCTGTTGTTCTCCATAATTGTTGCAATAAATACTTACAGTAAAAGTCTTGGCACCACATAAAGGAATGAATTGGGAATTCTCAATTCAGTGATAATCCCCTTTAACTGATCCTGTATCCATATCACATTACTGTAAGTTATATTGATGCATAAATCCATCAAATGATGTAAACTGTAAGAATGATGTAAGCTGAAAATTTGTTAAATTTCAAGGAGTAATTCTAAATGTCATTTGCTTTTTCCAAATTGTTATTTGAAATTTCTTCCAGCAAAAAATATATGCCATATTATAAATGAATAATACTAATCCAAATGTGTTATTTCATTTGGATAATCGTACCATTCAATCCAAATATTAAAAATATGATGAAAAGTTGCTCAATCTACGAAACAATTTCTTCAACAAAAAAAAAAATAAAACATAATTTACACAAAAAGAAAGAGTAATGATAGCAATATTATGCAATATTTAATAAACTGTTGCTAACTATTTAGATATTACACTAGTACAATGTAAGCATCATCCAAATGCAAAAATAAATAGTCAGAACAACGAAAAATATCCCACTCAGTTGTCCAATCAATAAATTATTTTTACATGTTTGAAAAAAAATTCATTCAAGTTTTGGGTAGGTCTGTCAATTATTTGAGTGCATTGCTCTATGATTCTTTCTTTTTCTTTTTTTTTGTTCAATACATTCTAAGGCTTAAGTCATACTGTATCAAAACCAAAATAAATAGAACTGTGAAGCCATTTCATAAATGATACATAAGTGATATTGGTTTAGAAAGCAAACAAATAGGAAGCCAACTGAACATGAAACAATTACTTCTAGGAAAATGAAAAGTTGGTAAAGTGGCGAGGAATTACTGTCTAGTATACAGCATGAGAAAAAAAAACGACATTAACAGCAATATGAAAATCACGAGGCTAAGCCAACAAAAAACTACAATTTATCAGTTATCATCATCATCAAGTTATTCGTCGACAGTTGAAACTTTAAATAACTTGAAATTCAAGTAAGTAACAAAAGGTTCGAAAATTTTTGACTATATAACAGTGGTTTCGAGGTCAAAAAAAGTTAAATTCGGACATTTTTGCTAATTCATTTGAACTATAAGACCAGTGTCATAATGTCTTTTGAAAAGTATATTTTTAAATCGAAAAAATTTGGTAACGACTTAAATTAAAAAAAAAATACGCAAAATAATACCATTTTCATTTCCTCAATTTCGTATGCAATAATCCATCGGCCAAGAAAATACAAAATGAAACAATAAGAGCTGAAAGTGATAGATAAATATACACATATGAGGAAAAAGAATACCTTACCAAACGCGCACTCAAATAAATAAGACTAGAAATTCGGAAATATTTAAGGGATCACAAAATTAGAAAACACGTAGCCAGAGAGGAAAATGGGAAAAGCAGAAAGCATTGTTGTATAATATTCAAATGCAGATAGATATAATTTACAATTCATTTGTAAGTGAATATTTAACGTAAAATTATTATCGATTTACATACGTTGATGAGTCCAAATTTACTCGTTATATACAAAGAAATGTAATAATATAAAGCACCACGGTCAGCGTTTAATTCTGATTGTAATTCCAACCAAAAGTTATATTTAGAATTATGTATTTAGAATCTCCCTTGAGCACATAACAAAATAAATATCTATATGGCGCGTTAACATTGCGTATTTTTCGCAGGATCGGATTTTTTAAAAATTTGCCTGCTCTGATCCTAATATCATAATCTTGAAAGTTAGTGAGGTAATTTTTAAACAAAAAAAGTAAAGATTTCAGAGACAGGGAGAGAACAGTAAAGATACGAATGAGGATGAAAGTAGCACTATTAATATTATTATTATTGCGCCCTGTTTGTTACCCCATCTGTGACATTTTTAAGCCCGAATTTTAAAATTTCCTAGCAAACCTTTCGAATCCGCATAAAAATCTTTTACACAAGAAAAAGTACTCCAAGAAAATAGCAATTTTTTTTCATGATTTTTCCTTCATATAATGTGATGGTGCGCTTACAAAAAATTGTTCGAATCTATAATGCTATAAATCAAACCGGTTCCAAAAGCAGCTTATTTGAAATCGGTTATATACAGCTGTCTTGCAATAAAGACATTAACAACCATAAAAAATTTGATCTAAGGAAACAGCATTTAGACCGTATCTTACAATGCTACTTATTTAATTGTTATTTCTATTAACAATCTAGCAACGATGACAGTGATTTAATCTTCAAGGTAATCTGCACGTTTAGTACCATAGTATCGCTAAGATCGATTGGTCTTTTTTATTACATCTTTTCTGTTTTCTATTCCTTCATTCTGCCTTTTACGGAAGTTTGAAATTCATAGAAATTCACACTGCCGAAATGGTTGTTTCAAATGACAAGAGAATAAATAAGTAAATTACAAGTCGGGGGTACCCACAGACCACCTAGTATACGTCTAATTGGAAAAATCCACTCGTCATAATTATCAATTTCTTGAACAGCAAGAATTCGCTTGCATCGTAACTCGGCTCAGCAAACTTATCGATCCAGGACTTTTGCCATTTTTCAAATCCAAATACCTGGAACACGAAATTTAAAGTCGATTGTCTGAGATATGCCAATGGAATGAAAATTAGTGGCAGCAAATGAAGTAAGCAATTTTATGGTCCAAAGCTATGATAATTCCACTCAACAAACTTTTGTGCGCATTGAACTGAATTATAAGTGTGAAAAAGGAATTTTGGCCAACAATTCATTTCCCCCAATCGCTGACATCATTCTAGATCGTAAATTAAATGTAATAATATAGCGGCATCTTTTTCAATCATCAACTGGATGGCACACTATACACTGAAACAATCTAGCGATTCCGCGAATTTCACAAATTTTCACAACCTAATCAACCTTAACGCCCTTTTATCCTTTTCCTGTTAAACAGAATCGAATATTGATGTTCGATGCGGCCGTCAACAATTTGATATTATTTGCTAGCTAAGTATATCAAAAACTGCAAAAAACAGGAGAAGGTCTACCTGCCAAAATGAACTTTTAAATTAATAGAGCTGAGAGTAATAATTTACTTAAAGGAATCTCTAAATACTTCAGTCTTTACCTTCCATCATTTTTCTTCATGTCATTGGTTAATCGAGTAGCTACTTCATGAAATAATGTATCAACGTTGGTTGCATCGAGTGCTGAAGTCTCAAGGAAATAATCAAAAGCATTAGCATCTGCAAAATTCTTTCCAATCCGTTCTGGTACCTCACGTTCATCTTCTTTGTCAATTTTGTTCCCTGAAGGTACTGAAAGCATAAACAAGCAAGAAGCTTTTGCATTCATTAACGGTATATTCAGCATGCAAAATTGTTAAATTTCAAATTTAACTAATAAAAACCAACAAAGTAATGCAAGTAGATGATATACAAAACATCTGCACCTGCTTTAGATTTCGATAAAGCCAATCAATTTAGTACTAGTTATTACTGACCTACTAGTATTTTTAACACCCGCCGATTGGCATATTGTTCGATTTCACCTAACCATTCGGGTAGGCAGTCGAAACTTGGCTGGCACGCAACATCATAAACCAGCACTATGGCATGTGCAGACCGATAATAACTTTGAGTAATTGACCGGAAACGTTCTTGTCCAGCTGTATCCCAAATTTGGAGCTGTAACAAAATTGATATATTATTTCAAATCTTTTAGAAATATTACTACGTATTAGAACAGAAATCCTATATAAAAGAGCCCAAGAAGCCGTCGGCCATTTGTCAACACTTTATACAACAAGAAAAATCGATTCTTGCCAAAATGAAGGATTACAGATTCAGAAACTGATGAAATATTTAAAAGAAGTCAAACAAACACACCTTTATTTTGTCATCATTAACTTTAACAGTTTTGATCATAAAATCAACACCGATTGTAGCGCTTTGTCCAGGTGGAAAAATACCCTACAATAAATAAATGAAATAAATAATTGGATATGCTTAATATGCAGAATGTAATAGCATACTGAATATGTTAACGTGTAAATGCCAAAGATGAAATTTCAAAGTTAATACCCGGGCTTTTCATTGTTTCTTTATTCCACTTTCCATACAAACCTCACAACTTTATAATTCCTCATAATAAAGTGGTTTCCGGGAATAAACAGTTTGAAGTAGTAGCATGCAGAATATGTTAACGCGTTAATATAGTATGAATAAACGTGGTATGCAACTAGTCAACCATATCACTAGCTATTTACAATTCAGCATTCCAGGATTTTGAAACTTCGGGAGGTCACAAACAATTTAGTTTTTTCTCATTAAGCACATTGTAAAAATACAACAAAAACAAAGAAAACAAAAATGGAACCTGCGTGAATTTACGCACGAGGCATGTTTTACCAACGCCAGCATTACCAACAAGCACCACTTTGAATAAATATTTGTAGTCTTCCATGCCACAGTGACTACTGCCTAAGTCCAAATAATGCTAAATTTACTTCTCTGCTATTGTAAATAATCTACTAAATTATCTGATCCAATATTTTTTCTTTCTTCCTCTTTCTGCTTCCTTTTCCCCCTGAAAAAACAAAACGTTACATTTATCTGGAATACATTTTGGCTAAAATTACCATATTTAAAAGTGTCAAACCGGTTATAACCGAATAACGAAGTCTGATGGATGTTTGAAACATTTATATTCAAATTTATTGCAAAAAATACACAGATTGGAATAAAATCTACTCAGATGGCTTTAATAATTTGATAAAATTGATCAACAATATGAAACATTTAAATACAAATCACAAAAAAATTTTCAAGTATAAATTTAGCTTCATAACAAAGAAAAAATATAAAATATACATTTTCTGCAAATAAAATTGAAAAACAAGACAAATTGAGAAATAGCTCAACGAATAATTGGTGCAACACAAACACCGGAAAATCCCTTCACAAATAACAAAGCATCCGGAAAAAATAGAAAGCCCAAAAGTAATCGCACAATTCCGTACGGCATACGGAAAATGAACAGGAAATCAAGATAACAATGCTGAAACAAACCTCGTCACACAGCGACACAACAAGTGTAAATCATAAATTTATCCATTTGAATGGGACATTGTGCAATTCTCCAGGATCCCTAGATGGTATATCAGGTTCGTTTCTGGATGTTGACAATTTTCTTTCCTAATTTCTGGTAGTATTATGTTTTCGGATACTTAAGACTATTTGCTCGCTAGAGAAGAAAGATTTTCATTAATTCTTAGAGCCATATCATATAGCTTAATTAATGAAACTAATGCTATTGTCTTATACAATGAATGATGTTTGATATTTCGTTACAATTAATTATATAGTAAGAAAGACATATAGTGCTGTTAAAATGCATATTATTATCATCTCATTTGAAATACAAAGTTTAAATTTAGTATTCGAAAAAATACGTGACAGTTAGAGATGAATCATCGATTGATTAACTGAGAGTTATTAATTGTTTAATTAATCGATAACTCATCAACTGAAAGTTATCTGTTAAGAATGAATTTCTTTTTGTGGACATTGAAGAAATTGTCGCATAAAATTTAATAAAGCTTATTTTATCGTAAATACAACTAGAAGCAATCGCTAAATCATCAAAGATCATCCTCACTATCCGGAAATGATCAGCTTATTGTTGCGTTTTCCGGTAATCATGTCGTTGTTTTAGACTTCAAAACGAATTGCGGAAATTAATCCTTTCATTTTTTTTTATTCATTGTAACATAACATAAGCAAATATTTTGCACATAAAATGGCAAACTTCGAATATTCTGATGGAAAAATTGGGATCAGGGAAAAAAAAAGGAAGAGTTAAAATAATAAAATAAATATGCGACAGGCTGTGAAAGTCTAATTAATTATTGAAATTTAAAAAACGGAAAAAAACTGAAAAATAGACATGAAAAGAAGAAATAAAATGAAAAATAACATATTCTCAAGCGAAAATAATTTTTCAGCAAATCAAAAATTATTCCATCAAACATAAACTTTCAAATATACAACTTTTTCTTAAGTTTTTTTTCTTGCTATAGTTAACCTTTTTAAAAATGAGCCAATATATCTTTTAAAAAATTTTATTGGCAACTAATTTTTAATATTAGATAAGATTAAAGATCAATTAATTTATGAATTATTCATTTAGAATTGATTGATTTGAGCGATTATTTATTGCTGCAAATTGTAAAAAAATATTCGTTTTTTTCTTTTTAATCTTGTAAAAAAAAAAAAAGAAGGAAAAGTCATATATTCAAGGATTTATATTTGATGCAATAATTTTGGTTTATAACAAAAAAAAAAAAAAAAAATTAATTCCCTCTTGAGAATATCTACTTTTCACTTTTTTTTTGTCAATCTTTTAAATTTGAATGAAAAATGAAAGCGTCTCTCATTCCCTCCTCATAATTTCGGTCTTTTTGTTTTTTTTTTTCTCTAATCTCAGTTATTTCAACATAATATTTGAAATTTGTCATTTTTTTATTTTGTCAAATACTTATTTATGTTAAAATGAAAGCATTTCATTTCTGGAATTCTTTTCGAATTTTCACAATATACAATTATTATTTCAAAATGAAAAAGAATAAAAGAAATGGAAACCGATCTAAAAAAAAAAGAAAAAAAAATCCAAATTAATCGATCATAACGAATTTAATTTCGGAATTTAATTTCGCTTTTATTTCTAATATACCATACGATGATTCATTAATCAATTATCATTCTAAACCCATTTTTGCAATTAATTTTTCATAACAATGTTTGTTAAGCATTAGCTATGAGTGATATGTTTGGGTAGAATAAATGCAAATAGATTCTAAATTTAGTACTTAAAGAATGAAACGTGAAAACCTGATTGAGTAATTCTAAGTGTATGTAGTACGTGAAAACGTGATTGAGTGTTTCCAAGTGTATATAGTACGTGAAAACGTGATTGAGTGATTCTAAGTGTATGTAGTACGTGAAAACGTGATTGAGTGATTCTAGATGCATGTGGTACTATACGGAAAAATTTCAAAATGATGTTAAGATGTGTGACATGAGAATTTTTCATAAATGTTAGCAAATATAAATTTTAAAAATACGCGCATGAATTATGAAATGCATTCATTTAATGTATATTTTATCAAACATGAAAGCGGAAATTTTTTTTACTAATGTTTCTTCTTTTTTTTTCTAGGACTAAAATATGTCACCAAAAAGTTTAATGTGTTGCAAGATGTCAATCAAAGCTGCAAAAGAAAAAAAAAAGTGGAAATATATCTGCCTATGCGATAAAATTTCACAAACACATGAAGTTTTCTTTCCTTTTTTTAAATCAATACTTTGTTATTTTTCGTCGATTTGTCATTTTTTTTTCAAATTGCAAAAATTAAATCGAATTTTCAATTAAAAGTAAATTTCTTCACGAGAATTTACGAATTGCAAAAAACAATTTGAACTCAAACTCAAATTTAAATTTTTCAATTTTGGTTATTTCTTCATCCTACTAACAGTGGATTTAATTAAAAGGATAAATGAAATAGTTTAATGATAACCATCCACTTGGTATTGCTTCCTCCAGGAATTTAAATCCGATTCTGGAAGCATTCATTCCGGAAGCATTCACATGTAAATACAAGATTAACGGAAAATGTCATAATGAGCTGATAATTTCCATAACAAGTGATATAGCATTTGTTTCTAGTTGATAAGATAAATTTTGTTGAATTCAATTCAATAATTTCTTCAATAATCGCAAAAATAAGCTTATTCGTATGGATAATCAATAATCCATTCTCAAGAATCTTAATTAATTATTTAATTATTTCATCAGTAATTTAGCTTTTGTCATCAAGCATTCTTTTTTTTTCATTCTGTCTTATTCGGATTTTAAACTTCAATTTTGCTTCGCAAATATAGTGATAATATATATTTTTAAATATTTTGTTGTCTTTTTTTGTGTGAAATTAAATCCATAATTAAATTCACTTTTCCTTTTTTCCAATGTCAACTAATTACTTATGGTCCAATGCATTTTTAATTTTCATCTTTGTTTCTGATCGAATGTTTATCCTTACCATTCCAAAAAATAGGACCTATTAAAATGATATATGCGACCTTATGACCTTTAACAAATCTAAATTAATTTCAGATGTTCTTCTTGAATGTTTTAAATCGTGTGACAAAAAGCGTGTGATTTCTTAAAGGATTTGTTTTTTTTTTTTCCTCTTTTTAAATACGAAGTTAAATTAAATTGAGAAAAGCCATCTAAAAGGAAGAGAGTAAGGAAGTAAAATTGAAGACAACTTCCAAATTCAATTTAAAAAATTTGGAAAATTGTGCTAAATCAAATTTTATTCCTTATGTCATTTTGTTAGAAAAAGTTGCACTTTTGATAGGAAAGAAAAAAAAGTTAAAAATTATTTTTTATTAAAAAATAATCAAAAATTATAGGCCTAATGATGGAATATAATTATCATAAATGGCAGCATAATTCATTTGAACAATCATTATCACGTATCACTAACTTTTACGCTTGGTTCAAGTATAATATAATAAAATGTTTCTTATGTGGTTGTTTTTCAAAACCTACCAATTTCAAATTATTATCAACCACATTATCATCAACATTTTCAACATTGGATGAACCAGATCTGTTTGATATTGATACCATAAAGGACATTAATGATAACGATGGAATAGGACTAAATCAACAATGTAAATGGAAGCCAGATTTTAAACGATACAAAGATCAAAGTAAGTTATTTAAAATTTAAAAAAAGAAACGCAGTAGAGAGAGAGAGAGAGAG